CTAATTCAAAGAACAGTTTATTGTGCTGGTTCTGATGTAGACTTACATAGTCTTGGTATGGAAATCTTGTATTAATAGCCTGAGCAATTAACAGAAAAAGCTCACAAAATTAACAACCAATAGATAAAAAATGAAATTTTATCTTCTGTATCAAGACTAGCATCCACTAGTATCAAGAGACTAAGACAGAAAAATATTTTACAGAGCTGTTCTATATTCCACATGCCTACACAAAAACACTTAAATCAAGGACACCAGGGGGGATGAAACGCTATGTGGGAAATCAGTCCCCCTTCCTTCAGGGGGAAACACACATAGTTGAAACACAAAAACTGTTTCCCCATGTTCTGGGTAAGCCTACCCAGTTTGCTTCTCGTCTTTCTGCACTTTACAAGACTACAACTGGAATACAAAGACCCACTTATCAGGTTTTAATTTCATTTAGTTACTTAATCAGCAAGAATATAAATCACTCCTTAGGTGGAGAATACTTTGGGGGAAAGGAATACAGCAAGGAGTCACGTTTATTTTGTTGGTTTTCTTCATAGCCATTCTCTCTTCTCTTGTTACATCTCTACCTTACAAGTTTCTACATACAAAGTAAATCCAAATTTCCTTTTTTCAGTTAATCTCATCTTTGATGTAGCTGTAGGCTTAACACTGAGGAGTAATTACAAAAGCAACATTATACTTTTTATGAAATATTAAACTTACAATTTATCTTTTCATATCTACTTCAAAGTATTTGACAGCAATAAATAAATGAGAGCTTCTTGGCAAGAAAAGCTGTGATTTATGAAAATTTTTATTCATTCATATTCTTAAGTATTTTCTTGAGAATACCGTTAACATCTGGAGCTATGCAGTCTTTATCCAAACATTCTGCTCATACTCATATTTCAATTAGAAAATTATATCAATAATAATGGAAAATAAATTACCTAGCTTCTCTTCCTGGAGCATAGATTTCAATGTTTGTCAGAGCAACTATGTGTACAAACAGCACTGTAGTGTTTTTCATTAAGCCTTAAAGTCAATTAAGCTACGAATTGGAACAATCATTCCTTTTTTGCAAAGTATTGATATTTTTTCTTGGCTGCTTTCAGGCCCTTTCACTACTCAAAAAGAGATTTATGTTTGACAATTTGTTTCTGATTAAAATGAATCATAACTCTAGAATTCTAATTTCCTCTTTTCTGAGCAAGAAATTATCAGTTTTAAATTGATATTGAAAGTCATCGTGCATGAACAACATTCATTTTCAAGATATGAAATGTAAAGCTATACTGATCTCTTTATCTGCTTTTTACGTACTTTCTCTTCCTTTCTCTCTCTCTATATGTATATAAAATATTAGATTGTATCAATATAATCAACTACACATCTCTAAAAATTGTATTTGACAGACTAGCTAGACCAGTCATATTAAAACTTGTCACAACACTTTACATAAGGCAATTACCCTCAATTTGTAATATTAGCAAAATTCTGTTGTAGTATAGAAAGAAAATAACCGGGATACTGCAGGTTGCAAACAAATGTCAGTTATCTAAAGTAATTAGCAAGTTTGTATAGGGAGTTCCTACTCAAATTGGCTCAAACTCTCTATAGAACAGCTCTTCAGACAAATTGTTAAATAGAAAGGTTTCTAGATTTGTCAATTAAGATAAATTTGAATTTGTTTTTTAAACATAATGGCAGCTAGTAATAATAATAATAAAATCTTCTTTTCTCCCATTATCCCTCCTGTTTTCTCTAAATCATAACACTTCGATTTTTCCAAGCCATTCAACTGTCCTATTTTCTCTTTATAAACTTGATTTTCAGCTTTCACTAAAAGCAGATTGAAACTAGGGTTTTGCCTAACAACTTATTTAGAAGTACAACAGGCCCAAAGAAGAGCTGTCTTTCTGCAGGCACCCAGCTTATGGCATTCCAGACAAGAATGTCACAAATAGAATGTCACTAAGGGAACAAGCTGGTGGTCTTCCCAAGTACTGCCACACATGCTGTACTTTATTTTTAAATTCTGCATTACAGTAGATTTGCTTTGGGTTTTTTTGTTTTGTTTTGTTGTGGTTCGCCAGTGGTGGTGGTTGGGGTTTGGGATTTTGGTTGTTTAAGAATTAAATCTTTTTCCATATATATTTCAGGCTTTAGTTAATATGGTATCAAAACTTCATGAACAGTTGTCTCTTTATAAATTTTTAATTATTTTGTCTTCTTGCAAAATAAGTGGAAATCTGTTCTGCATCAGACAACAAAAAGAATGAAATAGGAAATATTCTTTGTCTGATATTTAAACTTTGAGTACTAAAGCTTACTGTCCCACAGAAAAGCCAGCATAGGATACACATTGCATTTGGTAATATACATGTTATTATAGAAATACTAATTTAACTACCACCACAGTACACTTCCGACATGTAAACACACTAGAATTCATTATGGCAAAGATTTTTTTAGTTATAAAAGTATAGTTCATGCAAATTAGAAGACAATGGAGTTTGGACATTCAGTTGAAGAGTAGGAACATATTTACCAAATTTCCACCTCGCAAAATACTGGAGGAAGACAGCTCAGAGACTTCATCCGAAAAATTTACAAAAAACCATTTAACAAGTAGGTAGCACTATTGTTGCCAAAAGTACTACTTGAGTAACACGAACATGAGGCTTTGTAAGGCTGCATCCTGAACAGCTGTATTATTTTCTTAATTGGTTCCAAATTGAAAATTAAACCAATTTCCTTTCAATAATTTTGCTTTCCCTAGGAACAAGGGAGACAAAATACCGTGGTTGCTTTAAAGTTCTTTATAGCAGGATAGTTGCAGCCACATATTGAGAATTCATCTCAACCATATGCAGAGGTTGTTGACTTTTTTCTTGCACTCTCATTTCAGGAAAGAATTTTCAATTAACAACTTCCTGCTCCTTAGTTACACCTATAGGCTAAAAATAACTATTTTACATCAATTTTTTAATATTAGTATCAATCAAATTAATCTTTGCCTTTTTATTCTCAGTAACTGACTTTGGGGCAGGTTTTTGTGTTTATTTTCCTCAAGATTGCTTACAATTTGATGTAAATTTTAAGCATCTTGTAATTCATCAACTAATTCTCTCCTGGTTACACACTCCAAGTAATTAAAGTTCAGTAATAACTTATTCTTTCTGCTCGAGCACCTGCATTTCATTTGTTTATTTTCCCAAAGTCATAAATCTGAGGGACTGTCAAAGTGCCATAATATTAGTGCAATAATCAAAGTTAATTAGTCCCTCTCAATAAACAACAACAAAGCCATTACAAAGATGCATTGAAGGTTTTCCAGCTACCCATTTACAGATGAGATTCTTTCCTGAACAATTAGAACCTGAAAACTGTTAGCAAATAAATGTAGTGTTTCTGAAGTAATTTGACCTTCAGTGATCTTCGTTCAATTAACAATTCAATTAATTAATTAAGTTCAATTAAATTCGTTAACTTTTGGTGAGATAATACAGGTATTAAGACAAGTGGTCCTAAATTCCCATTGCCTTCAAAGTGCTCAGATACATGCTCAGAATTAAGGGGGTAATGGAATATTTTTTAAAATAAAAGTTATTCAGTACTGCCTTATTTTAGTTACATAAAAATATATATATAGCAGTATTTAGCTGGACCGGAACTACTAAATTCAAAAGACACAATATCACCAAATCCAGATCTATTACAAGAGAACGGACAGATGAACTTTAAGCAACATACTCTGTACTTGCCCCTGTTGGAATTCTCTTGGAATTTCACACTATTGAAAATAAAAAAAAAAAAAAAAAAAACCAAAAAAGAAAGACTTAAGGGGGGGGATTGAAGGGGAAAGGAAAACAAGTTTCACTCCCAATCCTTTACTGTAAATCATTATTATCTGTGCAAGAGAAAAAGGCCTAAATCCAAAGACTGCTTAAAGAAACCTGCGGTTACAAAAATTAGCAATATTATAAACATCACTTATTTGGAAATACTTACTTGTAAATAAGCACTGTTTGTATAAGCAATTATAATATCTGTAAACTACTTAAGTGTAAATATTAATACTACCAAGTGCTCTCCCATATCATCTGGGAGCAGCTGAAATATTTTCAGAGCTTGGGAAATAAAGCTAAAATACTCATCACTAAATTTAGCAGGAAAGAAATAAAATTCCGAGAATCTGACCCCACATTTTATTATTCAAGTAAAGTGTATAGGACTGTGTCAACAGATTATCTCCTGGAAGTCAGCAGTCATAGCAAGCTCAGACAAAAGCAGCCTGCAATCCCTACTAGCAAATAAATGATTGTGGGAGGAATAAATTAAGAATACTGAAAAAATTTTAATAAGGGTCTTGGAAGACATAAAAAAAGGGAGGGGGGGAAGCTGGGAGTCAAAGAGAAACAAGGGAACAGTCAGTACTGAAGACCTTGTATTTGCATGACAATGGAAGAAAAATTAAAGAAAGAGAGAAGAAATGGGAAGGAAAAAAAAAAATGTTGAGATGGACTGCCTGGCAGCAGCGCTGTTGAGCCTGATGAACTAGGAAAGCAGGGAAACGTTCTAAGAATGATTCTCCAAAACGTCTCATGATATAAAAAGTACAGACGAAATAGTAGCTGTCTCTTATTTCCGAGTGTGTACATTCTCCTTCAGTTAGTTGTACACTTTGGTTCTGGGAATGTCCTGTCCTACGAACTATGAAAGATGCCTCGGTGGTTCTTTCAAACATTTTTGCCCTGACAAAGCATCTGTACATAACATTGATAACAGCATGTCAGGCCTCGCAGTCCACTATGGTCACATGAAATGAAAAAACTCTATCACTGATACACCAGTGACTGAACAGGATATTACAAAAGACGACAAATGACTTGCTCCTTAGATTCTTGCGTCACGATATAATATCTATTTAACTGCTTGCACTGCACAAAAGATTTCATGTCTTGAAAAACACAGCTTAGTGTTGGACACTACATAGATTCACTTACCCATTCCACGAGAATGCGTTGTACAGCGTCATTGCCTCTTGACGTATTTCTGCAGGCCAGGACAACATATGCCCCATGCAGTGCAAGAGACTTTGCAGTTTCAAAACCTATGATAAAACATTTTCCTAGTCAGAAACAGATGTCAGTAACAAAACACAGCTATAAAGTTACCTGAAAAGGTGAGCCACACACTTCAGTACACTAACGCTACCTGCGGTCTCACTACCTGTTTGATAGTTACTCCAACCCAGCTCTTAAGAGCACACATGAAAGGCAGACACCTCAATTTGAGCAGGTCCTTGGAACAATAATTTTATATATTTTGTGCAAAATGGGCTTGGGATCTTCAAAACGTATACTCAACTTCTCTGCATCAGTGTCTTCAGCTGTTAGAAGAGCAGGATTATACTTACTCCCTACTTGTTTGACTGTGAAGAACGAGCCGTGCGGTGAGATTACGGAACAATTACGCCTGGCAAGATCACACTGAAAGTGCTAGAGTAGGCTAAAACTGAGCTCTGGGCTCTTTAGATGCGCAGTTAGCCTTTGATTCACCAATCTGACACCACCCATACGCAGGGGATTACGCAATGCGATGTGTGAGGGAGTAAGAATCAAAATCACGTGGAGATGACTACTTTTTCCGATGCGAACACCACCCCATCTGTACAACAGTGCTGCACAAAACCAGCCACCAGAGAACTATCCAAGTGTTCAACCATTCCCAGGACGGTGTTGTCAGGCTCATTCATAGGAAACGAGATTCTGCCTAAGGAAATGTGTAATCTACATGTACATTTCATTACCCACCCACTTTAAAATCTTTGCTAAAGTTTTCCTTAGATTATCTGGGTAAAATCAACTCTGGTTTTGGCCCATCATTGACTGACATATGAAGAATATTTTTTCACAATTATTCTCATTATGAACAAATAATCAAACAACATGCCACTTCAATATGTTGGTTATAGTATCATGGGGCTAAACAGGTCACTGGGTGCAAGCTTTGCGTAACTCACTGATATGACTTAATCTGCAAGCACATTCTTTGTAAATCTCAAAGAAGTGGACAGACAGTTCACACTTTGCTGCAACTGAAGTGCAGCATGAATCTATATCCCCAGGTGGGTTTTTTTTCATCCATACAACAAAGTTTCACAGTGAACTTCTAAACGACTGTACACAACTGTTTTTTGCAATACTGTTAAACATTTCTTCCCCATTCTGAATCTGGGCACTTCATTTCTTCTTTCTCAAAGCAGATGTCAGATTAATTTCAGTTTGTTAATTTGGGGCTGTACTGCAATTTAATGAGATCTGTTGAAATTATGAAACTGTCCACGAAGAGCTGCAACTCTTTCCACCTTGACATCACCTGCAAGCTTTGTAAGCGTACTCTGTTTCACTGTTCAACTGATTAATGAAAACCTGAATAGAAGTTGGTCAAAGTAAACTTCATTTAAGTGAAAAAAATCCATGAAAATTTGCACTAGGAGATGATGAGTTCCTGGGAGTGCAGAATGTCCACAAAGTGCAGAGAACTGAGCCAGGAACTGGGGTTCTATCAGCTGTGAGCTACTACATATTTGTGATGTATTCAGCAGTATCACTGGGTGCCCATTTCCATGGAGAACTAACAATGACAAAAATTTCCATCTAGCTAAAAGAGGCATAACGTAGCTTAATGAGTTCCAATTAGACAAGCTTAAACTAGAAAATGAAGAATCAAACTGAAATACCCAGCAATCTGAGTATGTGAAGAAGTCAAAAAGAAGAGGTATTTGGTTCAACTTTATGACATTTAAAGCATGTTCATGTTTTCCTTCTAAAAACTGTTTACCGAAAAACCTATTAAGACGAGCTGTCTCACTTCCAAAACACCCTGCAGGAATAAAATTCAGCTACAGCACAAGACATAAGTTACATTATAGAAACAACAGACACCAAGACAGATTTATACCGTTTTCTGCAATTACATGCTTACGGTATTTAAGTTCAAGCAACTTTCCTGTATCTCTTTTAAAGCCATTCATTGTACCAAGTAACTTTAATTACCTGGGAAGTTCACTGCATGCACATGAATTCAGCTACAGCATATGCAAGGATTTCCCCTGTTCCTAATTCCGTTTTAAGCATATTTAACTAGAAATTTTATGTAACTAATGTAAGACATGTTGTACCACAGCACTGTTAGCTAGCTGTACACTTCTTGTTTTGCACAAAAAATACAACTACTTCGACCAGCTCACTGTATTATTAAAAACTAATTCGAATGCCTGGGAATATAGTTTTTCTACTGTTATACACAGATGTAGAGCTGACAGCCAGTTTAATTAGCTAAACGTGATGATGTTCTAACTCTACCCCATATCAAACTGCAAAACAATAAATTCCATGCCATTCTCTGGTACAGTTATTAACATGATTCTCATTATAAACTAAACTGAGAAAGATTAAAATTCAACTAAGTAGTTACATGCTGCAAATTTAGTTAATTTTAATATTTAGGAAGGCTCTGCAAAGAGATCCGGACAGGCTGGATTGATGGGTCGAGGTCAATTGTACGAGGTTCAACAAGGCCAAGTGCCAGGTCCTGCACTTTGGTCACAACAACCCCATGCAATGCTACAGGCCTGGGGAGGAGTGGCTGGGAATCTGTCCGGCAGAAAAGGGCCTGGGGGTTTTGGTCGACAGCCGGCTGAACATGAACCAACAGTGTGCCCAGGTGGCTAAGAAGGCCCACAGTATCCTGGCTTGTATCAGGAATAGTGTGGCCAGCAGGAGTAGGGAGGGGATCGTGCCCCTGTACTCAGCACTGGTGAGGCCACACCTTAAATATTGTATTCAGTTTTGGGCCCCTCACTACAAGAAGGACATTGAAGGGCTGGAGCGTGTCCAGAGAAGAGCAACAAGGCTGGTGAAGGGTCTAGAGAACAAGCCCTATGAGGAGCGGCTGAGGGAACTGGGATTGTTTAGTCTGGAGAAGAAGAGCAGGCATGATGGTGTTGACAGTTGGACTTGATGGTCTTAGAGGTCTTTTACAACTTTAAAGATTCTTTGATCACCTGGATTTTTCCCTGCAAACTTGGAGATGAGAATTAAACACTTCTCTTTAGGACATACTTGCTCTCTTCTGGACTACCAAAGGATGAGTCTTCACCCTTAGGCTGATGTTCTGAATCTTTCTGTGCTTAAAAAAAACAAACCCCTCTTTTCAGAGGATTTTTAAGCAGCAGTCCATCCTTCCATTCAAAGTACTGCCACAGGTCAAGTGCGGATGTCTCTCCCCATCAGACATATTTTAAACTACTAATTCATTCATGAACACTCTTGCACTGTTTAGGACAGTTAGATTTATGCAAAGGAGAAAAACAAATTCACATACCCCAAACCACATAAGGTTCCAATTCAACTACTGAATTACTGGCTATAAGGTAGTGACTGTATATAACTATTACTACTTGGTCTTTCCATCACTTTGAGTGGAGCATAATTCCTAAGGCATCTCTTCAGACCATCTACCAAATGAAATAGATCAGGAAGAAGAGATAACACCATGCCTACTTCACAGAGTCACTGCGGTTTAAGTAGGATCTACCTATCAACTTGGTCACGCTCGAGACCGCAGCATTTTTAGATATGTCCTTAAAATAAATCTTCATAGACCTGAAAATCCTCACTAAGCAGTACAATTAAGTACCTTTACAGTTTAAGAAATAACAATGCAGGAGCTCAGAAGAATGCAATTTTTAACAAACACCTGAAGCAGGAATTTGGAAGCACCTCAGTATTCAAGCTCTTTTACAGCTTTAGCTTTTCATTTCTACTGCAAAAATTTAGGCTTGTTTTCTTCCCTAGTGTACCGTAGCTTAAATGGGTGGGCAAAAGCTTCTAGCACCGTGGAAAACTTTCATTCATTTAAGACTCATTGTGTTAAATTTAGTTTGCCAACAGCATTTGTTGTTCTGCAAAATGTACCCATGTTTTCAATATACAGTAAACGTTAAAACCTCAGCCTAACACAGGGATCGAGTACTTAACAGTACAAAACTGCTTCAACTCCATAAAGAAAAACCTTGCCTATCTATAAAGAATCAAAATCCACACTAAATGAGGTTTCATACACCAAGGTTAAAACACAAACATCATAAATACCCAAACAATAAAACCTCAAAAAAAAAATCACAGTAGGGTTAAATAGAAAGAGAAATCAAAATAACTATGTTAAGTACGTGCATAATTAAGGAACCAGAATGACCTTAATTCTACCCACAAAAGCAAATCTGTGGACTTCAAAAGAAGCAGAAATATTTGTTTAAAACTTCACTTAGTCTGAGACTGCAGCTACCACGGTGCGCTCTTGCAGTGACACAGCCTTTTCACAATGAAGGAACATTAACAGCAATGATACTGGTTTCTTTTCCAGGAAACGAACCATGTCCTCCAGTGGTGAATCTCCGCTGTACCACAGTGCAGGCACATTGCAGCTACGTAACCCAGGCAGAACAGATAGCACAGCCTACTGCCAACAAAAGCCACTGCCATTCACATTCTGCCCAGCTGCAACAGGTGGCAAAGGGCGAACATGGCTCAAGGAAACTGTGCCCAGCATCAGTGTATTCTGCCTCTGTGCATCAGTTTTCAAATTTCAAAATAAGGAGCTAAAAAAAAAGCTGCAAAACTTGATTATCATCTTCTACAATAATCACGTTATATACTAGTTACGTTTTGTTTAAAGTAGGAACAACTACATTAGAAAAACAGCATAGGATAATATACTTGAGCATCAAGGACAGCCAATTACAAAGAATAAGACAGATACTTCCCCTAAATGTGACAGATGAACAACATGCTTAAATAATGTACACTTTGGAAAAATCAGCCATAGTATATTTAAATACTTTATACAATACAATACTGAGCAAATGTTTTATAAAACAAATAAATTTCAAGTGACTGCCCTGGAAGTCTCAAGAGAGAAGACTGTCCTGAGACCTACTACTCTTGCTGCTGTTGCTCTAGCTGAACGAGCTCTGATCTGAGACTCAAAAGTAAAAATCCTGTTGAATAAGACATACATGAGGATAAACATTATGGCACAGCTGTC